AAGAGATTGAAGGCTCAAGCTTTCACTTCAAGGTACCTAGGACGCCAGTTTGCTGCTGTAGGAGGAATTAGCAGTGAGCTGTGAAGAAGCCGCTGAGAAGCTGGAGGAAACTAAATTTCTTCCATTTGTGAACCACTCCGCCTTGTGACCTGCTCCTAGAACATCTAACATGCTCCCAGGTGCTGCTTCCCTTAATCTACAGTAATTCTCACCCCGCTCTCCCACATTAGGGCCCAGCATACGATTCTCTTAACATCCGTACAACTCTTAAGAAGGATGAGACACTACCATGTGGCAGTAAATCCATAAACTTCTGATATGCCATAAAAAGAAAAACATGGAACCTCTTCATTATAGAAGAATCTGTCATTTCTACTGAGAAAGCTCTGCCAACTGAAGCCCCTACAAAAAAAGAACTGCGAGACATTTTAACATTGAGGGAGGAGTTTGTTCATCTGTCCTTGGCACACTGGCGTAAAACAAGCGAGTTCCCGGCTACAATTAAGACTTCGGCCCGTGGCAAGGCTGAGACCTACCCTTGCTGGAAGAAGGCAAAACTGACACAGATGGGCATGTGGTGGATGCTCAACGGCACGGGATCCCGCTCCTCTGGAGTGTACTGTGTGAAAACACAAGCTTCAGCAACTCGTCACTAAGTCATGAATACACTAAACATCATCTTGCACGACAAATGTTACGATAAAAAACGAAATTCTTTTAATCCTCAATGAGTACCTAAATAAATTCTACAATTACCTATCTGACTTTGCTACTCATGTTCCTTTACGCATCTGTCAAAAAGCTGTATTGAGGTATATTTTACATACCATAAGGTCCACCCATTTTAAGAATATGATTCACTTTTTAGGACAGCTAAATAATGCACCACATCCAGTTTTTTAACATTTCCCTCACTCATCCTCCCCTGCCCCACGGGAAACTTCCCTTGAGCCTGTTTGCAGTCAAATCTCACTCCCAGCCTGAAGCAACCACTGATCTACTTTCTGTCTCTACGACCTGCCTTTCCTGGACATTCCATATAAGCAGAATCAAAAGATTTTTAGGCTTTGGCATCTGCGGCCTTTCAGCTTAGCATGTTTCATCCATCTTGTAGTTTGGTCCTTTTTACTGATGAACTGCGTTCCACTGTATGGATTTTGTGTTTCCATTCGCCAGCTGATGAACATTTGGATTGTTGCCAGTTTGGGGGTATTACGAATAATGCTGCTATGAACATTTACGTAAAAGTATGAGTAAACATACACTTTCATTCTTCCTGAGTAGGTTCCTAGGCATGCACTTTCTGAGCTGTATACGTTTATACTTAGCTTTTTAAGAAACTGCCCCACTTTTCCAATGTGGCCGTACCATTTTACATTACCGCCAGCAGTAATTGATACCTTTTTCTGTCTACTAACTGCTCTTTTTTTTTAGTTCCTCATATTGACTCCCTTCTCTAAAAGAATGTCTCTATTTTTAATGAACTTTTGTCCCCTCTTCTAAGTCTTTAGAGTCTGCTCCATTCTAATGCCTAAAAGCAGCACCGTGAATGACTGCTGGAAGAATTCAGGCCTCTGATGTTTCCTTTGGTAACTTTGGGACTCAAACTACCACCGCAGTGCACTTTCATTATTACTCCAGCATGTCATTTACAGAAACTGAAATAGGCATGTTCAGCGTAAAAGAGAAAGACAACATAACCTGCACAGCTCAACAGTTTTCAAAATGTGGTCCTTGCATCAGCAGCTTCGATATCCCGAGAGCCGTTAGAAGTACAAAGTGGTAGGTCTTACCGCCCGCCCTTCCCATTCTGAGGGTGGAGCCCAGTGATGTGCTTGAATGACCCTTCCAGGTATTTCTGATGGACTTAGCCCCAAAGCAAGCAGAAATACCTCACTGTGCTGAGAATTATGTATTTCTCATACATGTGGTCTCTAAACATAAGCGAACCACTTCATCTAATTCTCAATCCCAGAAGAAATCGAGTTTTAGAAAACCAGGCTAGGGTGTGCTTTCACCGAGACACTTCAATACATAAGACTTAAGGATTTCGAGGGCAATTTTGACCACGTAGTTTTTGCCTTATGAACAAATTTTAGAACATATCTCATTTCCGTCTACAACAAAACTTCACCAGTAACAAGTTGCCTGCACGTCAAGGATAGTCACTCATTCACAGAAAGGGGCCTGGCTCGCATCTCGGGAGCTTACCAGTGTTACTTCATCTCCTTGGACTGACACATCAGGTCTTCGGAAGTGACACAAGGCTACAATTGCAGCAATGCTGGCAGCATCAATAATATTTCCATCATGATTTAGTAAATGTAGGTCCACACGTATTTGCCAAACCTGAATGTGAATTTAAAACAAAATTAAATCCTAACTGATTACAACCAGTGGCTATTTAAAAGGAAAAGTAACACTGCGTGCAGATTTTTCTCTTGCTGTTAAAACATGCAGTTACTCCTATTATATCGATAAAACTGTATTTAAAAAAATGTTAAGCCAGACCAACATATGAAATGCCAACAGTTCACCTGAGTCATTTGACAACAGAAAAACATATGCTCTAAATATACAGAACCATTCTACATTCAATACTAAGCATTCCCTAACTTCCAGTCTAATTATATTTCTATTGTTTCTCCTAACTTAAATACCTCGAGCTCTCGGTTATATGTAATATTTATGATAATTATAAAAGCAATGTAAATATAAAGTGTCATATTCAAGTATGGAATGTGGAAAGGCTAAATGAATTTTCTGGAGTCAAAAAGATGATAAAAATATCCTAATCGAGAATACAGTTCTAACATCATCATGCAGAACAATTTACTGAGTAAGATTTCTAATGTCAGCTTACTACGGACTCACTGTGTGGCTCTGTAAGTCAATTAACCTATCCAAATGAAGAATTTAAACTGTTCTTCAGTTCTTCATTCGTATAAAAGGAAAAAACACCTGCTTCTATCAACTCACTTAAATAACAAGAAAATAAATACTATATGAAAAACTACAAGTTCTTTGAATAAGACATTTTTACAAAAATCCGAACTGCTATTTTCACCAATGTTTTTTGTCCCTTCAGAGAGAGATGACACAAAGTTCTATGGGTGGCACTCAGGAATATTTGAAGTGAAGTGACCCAGTATAAAACTAAATTAACTTAAGCTCTGAGAATTAATGTATAGCCAAAGGGATCCACGAATCAACAATACTCATCCTAAGATTAAGAATTTTGGGCATATTCCCCACCTTTTCACCAGCAACAACACAGAGAGATTCAGTGTCTATACACTTCGAATTTCTTAGACATCTTTCCAAGAGACGATTCAACTTCACCAAGAGATCTGACTGCCTGTGAAAACAGGAATGGGCTAATGTCACCAGGCATTAAAACAATACTTTGCTGCCTTTAGATTCTCCTCTGGTTAAAACAGCTTAAGAAGATTTAAATACCTTCCAGGTTCAAAAGCTGGGGCGGCCATCTGAGAGAGCTCAAGGTTAAAAAAAAGAATACCTTCTGTTGCCCTATTGAGTTTTGGAGAAACAAGTTCACAGGAAACCTGTCCAAGAACTCTGCAAAGATAAAGGACAAATCTGTTAACTCAATATATTCCTAATTAATAAAAAAAAAAAAACTAAAACATACCAATCAAGTTTCAATCTTATTGAGTTAACTCAATATATTCCTAATTAAAAAAAAAAAAAAACAACTAAAACATACCAATCAAGTTTCAATCTTATTCTGAGTAACAGCACACTCAGTATGATATACCATTAGAAATTGATACTATATATAAAATATAGTAGTAGAATTTATACAGGAATAAAATACATATTGGCATATCCAAAGAGATGACAGGAAAAACATCTCGTATTACAATACTGACTATTCCACAAATCCTCAAAAAAATTACTGACCTAAACCTCTCTTTTCTAAAATAACTTTTTATTGATAAAAGATGGCATGAAAACTTGAGATTTCTTAAGAGTTTTCCTATGGCTTGGTACGGCAACATTATTTGACCAATGTCCTCACAAGTTCCAATGATTAAAAACCTGATTCTCATGTCACTCAGAAAAGAGGAAAGTAGGACCCACTTACTGACAATAAGTGCAGGAAATAAGTTTAATGCAATCAAGAACTATGTAATATTCATATGACATGATGTATACTTATAATTAAAAATTTAAAGTGTGACTATAAATAAAAAACTTTGCATTAAAGAAAATATACTTATTTTTTAGAGCTAAACAAAATAATGTCCAGACTTCTTCGCTGCTTTGTAGACAACTGAGTCAATTAGGTTCTTTCAAACTTCCCCACTGAGGTTTTATCTAATTTGAATCCTATTACCTTGTTTTCCCAAGTTCCACAATACAGCACCCGTAATCTGTTCCAAATGAGATCTTGATGTTCCTGTAATCATAGGTTTGTCTGCCATCCAGGCGCTGTAAGCACAACATCCATTCGTTTATTCCTTCAACAATTATTTGTGGAGCAGCAACTCTGAGCCAGACCCTGGGGCAAGTGGGATCCTAAGCACCCCCGGAGGAAGGTGGAAACGAGGTGCCCGGGCACTGACAGGAGGTGGGGTGACTCGAGCCTTGAAAAGAACCCGCTGGAGCCAAATAAAGCCTAGGGGCCTGGGAACCCACCGGCCGTCCCCACGGGGGCCTGCGAGGGCGAGGTCGGGGCGTTCCAGCCGGAAGGCTGCGGGCGGCCGGGCGACCTGAGCGCCCACGCAGCCCGAAGTCCCCCGGGGCCGTTTACCTTCTTCTCCTCGATGGCGCGGAGGAGGAAGCGGCGCTCGCAGTTGGAAAGTGGTGTCTCCTTCATGCCGTCGAGTCCCGGGGTCCCGGGGCGGCGCGACCCGCGGCCAGGGGGTAACCGAGCGTCTACACGCGCGCCCAGCTCTCTGGTGGCGCGGGCGAGTGACGTCATCAGGGCGCGGCGGCGCGGCGGTCGCGTGTGCGCATGCTCGGAGCCGGGGCGCCGCCGGCCCGGGCGCGGCCGAGGAAGTGCGTGCTCCTGAGCGCGGGGATGTTTCTTTTACCTCAAAGTGCAGGGGAGAGGAGGCCCCCAAATTAGGCATCAGTGATAGAAATTAATGCGGGCGTAGCGCCCCCACGCCGCACCGTCCCCTCAGTGCTGGCAGGTGGGCGGGACGGGCGGCCCTGCTGTGTCCCAGGTGAGGAGGTTGAGAGCCCGCGACTAGGACGCGTGGGGGCGCAGTGAGGGGCGAAACGCTGGCCTGAGCGGGCGAGCTGCGGCGCAGCCTCCGAGGCCCGAGGTGACAAGAATGGAGACTATCCCACTTCGGAACCAAGGATGTCACAACTGCCACTGGCTCGAACAGAGTTTGCTGTTCCTGTCTTAGTGTCGCTCCAGTTATTTTGAACCGATACTTTTACGGATGTAGCGGAAGCTTGGCGCGTCCGTGCTGCCAGCCCCGAGCTTTTTCTTTTTCTGGAGAGGCGGCCTCAAGGAGTATTAAAAGCAGGAACTCCAACTACCTGGGTTGGATTTAAATTCTTTTTTCATTTTACTTTTTTTTAGGCGAGGCAACCCTTGGTTGACCTTACAGATTGCAAGGACCTTGTCAAGTTGCAATTCCTTATTTATTTTTTACGCCTACAGCAACTGATCTTTCTAGGTGGTCTCCCATCCAAGTACTAACCAGGCCCGACACTGCTTAGCTTCCGAGATCAGACGGGATCCCTCTTATTCAGGGTGGCACGGTTGTAGACTGTTTTCACATTCTGACACTGCACGTTGACTAATTCTGTGACCCTAGCCCAGTTAGCCTATGTGATTCACTTTACTCATTGGCTGCAAAGTCAGAGTGGCAAACATATTCGTTAAGAGGGATAAAAGCAAGTTAATACATGTAAAATGCACCGGCGGTGTAAGCACTAGTATCGAAGTATTTGCATAGTATTATTTTGTTTCCATTTGCTTCAGAAGTGACAGGCACTGGAGGTCCTATGACAGCATCCTTTCTGTTTCTTTTGTCTCTTTTCACACTCATTTTTCTACCAGTGTTACAGTTTAGTCTCACTTTGTAACACTTCCAAGTTATATACTCCATTATTTGTGAAGGCCTCCTGTGTCCCAAGAATAATTCAAGTGCTGGATAAACATTTGGACAGATCCTGTCCTTTAAGGAATTTATATTCTCTTTGAAGGAGACAAGCAATAAAAATTTAAATAAAACAAGTTCACAGGCTAAGCTATCTGAGAATGCGGATGCTATTTTAATAGGGGTGTTGGCAGGAAGAGGTCGCTTGGTAGAGGTGATACTTCAGTTAAGGAAATCCTCTGATGAGAAGGAGCAACCACGATATCTTGGGTGAGGGGGCCGGGTGAAGGAAAAATGTTTCAAGTAGAAGCAGCAACCTGAGCCAAGACAGATAGGATGAGCTCCACATGATCTGGACACAGGAATCGTGAAGTAGGAGGAAAGTGGACAGAAATTAATGACCACATGCTTAGTTGCTGATTTTCGAAAAAAGCAAGATTACAGGGTACAGGCCATTTAAGTTCTTTAACAACATAATTTCATATTTATAGCAGTTTCGCAAACTCCTGGCTAAATTCATCATTTAAATCCTTGGATTCTTTCATGGACATTTTTCCCTTTCCCTTCAGAAATGAAATAGGCCTTTATTGAAACAGCCTATTCTTTCCTGGGAAGCATCTTGGTTGTAGAAGAAGATTGGACTTTGGCATCAGATAAACTTCAGTTCAAATAGACTTGGTGAGTTAAATAATCCTGCTGAGCTTCAACTTGTGTATCTTTAAACTGGAAATAATAACTACTTTGGTCCGAAAGAAAGCACCTAACACAATGTTCGAAACATAATAACTGTTCACACGTCAGTTTCCTTCCTGTTTCTCTTGACAAGGCTCCCCGTGAAACTGTCCAAAGTCGCTGAGGCAGCTTGCTGTTCTGAGATTGCTGCTTGGTGACCTCGCCTTGGCTTTCCTTCCACGTTTGTGGAATCTCCACTGTTCTTTCCTACTTTCAATATTGTATTGTTGCAGTTTTAGCGCTGCAGTGTTTGTCTTCTGTTGGAGTTAATCCAAAAGTGTATAACCCATCTCCACTCACATCTGCGTACCATCGTGAAATATATTTACTTCACAGCCTTGTTTTTAGTAAGACATTTTCACACACCCGGGGGACCTTTGTTTCGTGCTTTCAGGGGGAAAACGTTTTTGACGTTTGAGAAGAGGTTCAGAAGAGGTTGCACATTCTGCCCTTCAAAAGAATTCGTTTCAGTAAGCGTGTTAACCCAGATGATCTGTCTAAATATAACTCGGTTTTCAACATATTTGAGTATACGTCTTCTCTCCTCTTTATTGGACATCTGTTGCTTCGTCTGACCTGTTTCGTGGGGAAATGCCGCTTCCTGAGCCCACGTGACTCTCCTGTTACGTTAACTGCAGGCCGAGGTGTGACCAGGCCCTCTTAATCAGGGAACCCATCCCTCTCTCATGGACTGTTCACCCATGTGGATCTGGGAGAGAGCAGGTCTTTCCTCCTCCAGGATTATAAACTCTAAGGACTACACAAGTCTGGGACTGTCAGGGGCCATCTTACTACGACATGGAGAGAACCTATTTGAAAATGAAATCACACAGAGGCCAGCAGAACTAAGAAATGAGAGAGGGAAGCAGAGTTCTCATGTGGAAATAGTTTGTACTGGTTCTTGGACTTTGCAGTTGGTGATACATTTGAGTTGCTCATTTGTGAAATGTGTCCAAAAGAATCCTGACTACACTTCTACTAGAATGTAGAGATCCATGTCTTATCAACCTTTATAGCAACCACTGAGTCTGGGCATGTACCTCGTGAATAAATGGATTAATGGCCTGTTATAGCACATCTGGTGGAAGACATTAATAAGTGGATGAATAAATGGAAAAATGGAAGCTTACATTTTTATTTACCATATAATATGTCTGCTGTACAATTTGTCTATATGGAAATTGGTTTCCCAGAAATTATCCTGGAAAGAAATAATACAAAATGTTAAGGTGGTTATCTTTGGGTGGTGGGATTCTGGGAAAATTTTTTTCTTTTTGAATTTTTTTCTTTATCAATTTCCCAAATCTTCTATAAGGCATATGAATAGCTTTTATCATAAGAAAAAGTTTTTTAAAAATCATGTTTTTCTTTTCTTGTTCTGACACGTTTAACTATTTAAAGGCATGTTGGCTTTCAGCTACATTTTTACAAAGACATTTGTTTAGGGTTTTTTGTTTTTTTTTTTAAGACTCAAACTGGGAAGATTATCCAGGTGGACCCAATGTAATGACAAGGATGAGGGAGGCAGGAGAGGGAGAGGGAGGGAGAGGGGGAGGGAAAGGAGGGAGGAAAGGGAAGAGAAAGTCAGAGACAGAGACAGAGAGAGGGAGAAGGGAGGGAGGGAGGGAGAGGAAGAGAGGGAATGAGAACGGGAGAGCAGAGGCCGAGGGCAGAGAGGAGAGAAGGTGCCTTCCAGCTGGCTCTGAAGGTGAGAAGGGTTTGAGAACCGAAGGATGTAGACAGCCTCTAGAAGCTGGAAAAGGCAAGGAAATGGATTCTCCCCCAGAACCTCCAAATGCGGACTTGTTTTAGACCTCTAACCTCCAGAACTGTAAGGTAATAAAGTTGTGTTGTTTGAGCCATTAAATTTGTGGTAATTTGTTACAGCAGCAATAGGAAACTAATAACAGATTGCCAGATAAAATTCAGCATGCTAAGTTAAACAAGAAATAATTTTGGATAAGCAACAAATAATTTTTTTAGTATAAGTATTTCCAATTTGTCCCAAATATTGCATGGGATATACTTATACTAAAAATTTCCTGGTCTGATCATTCCAACATTATTGCCCATATCTGAGACTGGTTTAGATGTTTGTGCTGTCTCTATTTTTTGTCTTTATAGTATGTCTCACGATTTTTTGATGAAAACCAGACATCATACACAGGGTAAAAGGAACTGGGGTACTAGGCCCTGAGTGATGTGTTGGTAGGCTGTGGGGCGGGGAAGCATTCTGTAGTCCTATGATGGGCTCCCAGTCATTTAGTGAGCCTGGGCGCCTGGGCCCCTGGGCCTTACAAGTGATTCTCAGCCTCCCACCCCACCCTCCTTAGGTGAGGCAGGAGGCTGGCGGGGAGGAAGACTGGAAGGATGGAGTTGGATCCTTCTTTTCCCCCAGGGCAGTTAGACTCTGGTAAAACCCGTCTGTCTGGCTCTGGTGGAAGTTTCTCTGAGGGCAGGTCTCGTCAAGAAGGACAAAGTGCTCTGGCCTTATATGAAAATGGATGCCTTCCCCCACTCCCTTTGCCAGAAGCCTGAGGAGATTTTTCCCCTGTCTTCTCCATGAGAGCCTGGTAGGGCTTCTGAAGGTAAAGCTCAGGAACCGTGGGAGCCAACCTATGGGTGGCTCCCCAGCTGGAGTTTTTACTCTCAAACTTGTTTACACTAAGCCTCCAGCTACTAGTTCACTGCAGCTTGGGTTGCCTACAACCACCTGGTCCCTGGGGGCTCTCTGTAGTGAGCTTCTGCTCTGGTAACCAGTGGCTTTCTGCACCCGCCTCCTGCCTCACCAGATCACATGGCAGTGGTTTGTCCTGTGACTGCACTTCTGTGATAGATCTAAGAAAAGTTTTAGATTTTAGTTCGTTCCGTTTTTGTCATGTTGTGTGGACAGCCGTGACCATGACCAAGCTGTCTACATGTTGGACCTGAAACTGGAAGTCCCATGAAGTGAAGAACAAAAACATTCTTTTTAACAAACATGCATGTAACACTTACTATGTGCCAGGCCCTAATTTAAGCACTTATAAATATTAATCCTACTAGTTACCTTAGAAGGTTGATAAAATTATTATTTTACAGGTGGGAAAACTCAAGGCTGAGAGAGATTGAGTAATTTGCCAGGGTCCTACAGCAGCAAATCACAGGAGCAAGATTCACACCCACACCATCCGTCTCAAGGGACAGTATGCATAACCACTACACGGTGCTGCTGCTTGTAAATGTGAGTCCACTCCTGAGCCAAGGCGATGACCTCCACCTGGGCACTAGTCCAGTTCATTCCCTTTCTCTGGGAGGGTCTTTGCTTCCTTTCTTGATTACTTTGCGGTTGACATCTACATAGAGAAGAAAGCTGCTATTATTAGGTTACCCAAACCCAATTAGAAATACAGTCATGAAGTAGGGCTCGTCGACACAGAGAGACATGGAGAGGTCCAACTGTAATCCCAAAGCTTGCCTACGGCGAGAGTGAAATTGGCGTTGAGCTCTCATTGCCAAGCGGTAGGAAAAGCTGTACGTACGAAAGTACTGTTCTCGACTGAGAGACTCTGACAGATCATGTCATTTGTTCAACCTTAGCCACTCTCCTTTAGCCCCAGAGCGCAGCGATGTTGCACCTATGGCACCGACCAACTATTCAAGTTAATGATTTAAGAGGAGAAGCTTCTACTTTACTGCTTGTTCACTTCTAATGTTGCCTAGGAAGGGAGGCTTAGGTGGTTTCAGAAGCAGCAGCAGCAGCAGAAGTGGAACACCAGATGATGCTGACTCTGCAGCGAGGTAACGGGGGCCAGCCGGGCCAGAAGGCGGCATTATGTGGACACATCTCTTTGACAGGCAGCATAATACTTGTTTGAGATAGTGCTTCCGTGATGGGCAGCCTCTAAGATGGCCCCTGTGATTTCTGCCTACTGGTATTTAGGGCCCGTGTCATCCCCCACCTTTGAGTGCCCTGCCTCTAACCAATGGATACCTCAACATGGAGGGCATGACATTTCTGACTAGATGACCATAGAATATAACTTCCATCTCGTTTGAAGATTCTCTCCCTTAATGGCTTGGATGAAGCAAGTTTCTATGTTGGGGAACCCCATGTGGCAAGGAGCTAAAGGCGTCCAGCCGACAGCCATGTAGATAGTGAGCCCCACGATCCACAGCCCATGTGGAATTGAAGACAGCCAGCCATCACTTACATGAGGTTGGAAACAGACTCTTCCACGTTGAGCTTTAGGATGAGCCCCAGCCCTGGCTGATGTCTTAGTTGCAGCCCTAAGAGAGGCCTTTGGGCTGACCCTGCTCAGCTTTCCTGACCGGCAGAAACTGGGGTGGTTAACGTGCATTTAGGCTTCTAAGAAGCAGTGGGCAGCCAGTGCAGTTCCTAGCGCTAGCTCTTCTGAGGTAAGCATTACTTCTGGGGTCCAAACCTCACTGGCCTGTTTGCATCTCATTGATAGTGCAAAGAAAATCTCCATTTGACATTTTTTGCAACCTCTGACTTCATCAAAATGCTGCTAAAACACTTTGTGAAGGAATTTGTGGTACATAAAATGGTAGGTCTGTACCACTGAAGTATGCTTCCTTTACTGACCAGAAATTTTTTAATGATCTCTAAGAGGTTGCCTGAAAGGAAAGCATGGTTTGTATCTCAAGAATCTTGCTATAGTTGAGTACTAATGGACTAGAACTGTAATGTAAAATGCAGGAGGAAATGACTTCTAACATTCAAATGGAAAGAAAAGACTTGACCAACTTTGCTTTTACTTAAAAAAAAAACAAAAAACTGAGCTCGAAAATATAGTTTCTTAAAAGTCACTGACAAACAAAAATCTATTCAGCAATGGACTTTTTAAAATCTGATCTGATAATGTTATCTGAAAAGGCAGAATGCATATTAAAATCTCAGTTATGAGTACTTACTGTAAAAAGAAATATCAGTATCTGCTTATAAACAGGGCCTGGAAGGCAAGATTGAAGTTAGGAGAGATTACATAGTATGTCTGATGGTGGCATTTTTCTTTAATTTCTGTTTCTGATACTACTGATAAAAATTGGATTGTGTAGCAAGTAAAAATCTGTGAGAATCCAGTTATTTATATAAATATTTTGTGTGCCAGGCTCTATTCTAAGCACTGAGACAATGCAGTAAACACAACAGTCAAAGTCTGTTGGAGCTGTTATAATATAGCTGACGCTCATTAGCACTTACTATGTATAGACACTTTTCTAAGATGTTTACATACATTAGCTGATTTAATCTTCACAACCCCTTTACAAGGGAGATACTATTATTATCATCCCCATTTTATGGGTGAATAACTTGAGGCAGAGATCAAGTGACTTTCTCAAGGTCACAAAGCCATTTAAGTGACAGTCAGGATTTAAATCGATGATGCTGCCTGGTTCCAAGTCTATGTGCTTAAGCCATATACTGTCCTGCCTCTCAATTATAACAGTTTCTATCTTATAGGTAGAACTGTGTTAAAACAGGTGGTTATAAGCCCTCAGCACAGTCAAGAAATAAAGTAAGTGCTCAATAAATATTTGTTGAATGATTAACTATGCAAGCTCTTAATAAATTATACCATAGTAAATAGAATACTTGCATACTCTATTATGGCTGAATAATTCAACTTTTTATTTTTCAACTTTTTAAGTTCCCTTGTGTATATTATATCAGCTTTGTAAATCCATTAGTCTAGTAGCCTATTAACACTCTATTTTAATAGCACATTGGATTACCTGGCAGAATTTGTTGGTACTGAGCCTATGCTGGCTCCTGATGGCCACCTCTTACATTTCTAAACGCTCACAGACCATCTGTTTGAGAGTCTGTTTTAGAATACTGCTTGCAATCAGTGTCAAGCTCATCATTTACATCTTTGCATTTTTGGAACTTTGGGAACTTCTAGTTCTCTTCAGAATGAAAATCTGTTTACATTACTGGTATATTTCATCAGCGATGGAGACCATGAGAAATTGTTTACTTAATTTAGTTTTTTACTAAAGTAATGGGATGATTGCATTGTACTCAAAGAACATCTGAATCATGCAACTAGCAACTCCTATTTCAAAGCCATAAGTGTATCAAATTGTGGGGCCCATCCAGCATAAAATAAGATTACTCATCTGTGTAGGAAATTTTCCGA